GATGACACTCTCAGAGGGGATTGAGCAATCTCCTTGTCCAGTTACCTTTAAGATCATGGATTTAGATGCTGAAAGGGACTTCTGGACCCAGACTGCAAGCACTGGAGAGTTTTTGGGCAAGAGGGAAGTTTTGTGTGTATCTGTTGGACAGAACCCAGGGGGAGAATAAAACAGATTTTCAGTTTCTCCCTTATGTAAAACAGGAAGGTAGGCATGTGAAGGATACCCAGCATCCTGTCACTGAAAGGAAGGGAGCAGAATGACACTATGCAGAGCCCATTTGTCATTGACTGTGGGGTGGAGAAAGTGACCTGAAAAGACAGCATGAAAGTGAAACACAGGAAAAGGACCTCTTTGTACATGCATCCATGACATACTGTGCAGCAACCCCCCCCAATATCTTACCTTCTTGGGAAAGGATCATAGTTATTCATTTGGGCTGGATATAAATTATCTAGTGATGCCAGTCTATCCCTCTGCAGTTAAAGGGAACTTGACGTTATTGGCAATCGCAAATATGTATCAGAAACATCAAAATCCAAAAATCCAAACTCAATATCTCTTGACATTCAGGACCATCCTTGCCATTTGGCTCAGTCTCCACATACAGAAAGCCACAAAATGTTATATAAAGCTCAACATTTAAAGTGAAGAGACATCTGTTTGAATCTAGACCCTGCTACTTTCTACTTTATAAAATGAAATGGCAGGGATCAAGATTCTTTGGATCTTTAAAGCAAGGATTTCTTGTCCATTAAAGGAGGCTGATAAAAGGAGGTACTTATCATGTTGGATTATCAGAAAGACTGACTGAGTTCATTTGGGTTTAAGTGCCTAACACAGTTCTTGCCTCCTAATGGATCTCTGAGATCATACCTTCTCTGTCAAATAGATATAAATATACCATAAGAACTTTTATTATAATGTCTTCCCTCAATCTTTGTCCCCTCTGTCCTGTTACACTTCTCTGGCAATATTTCAGTCTCAATGAACCCAACCACTTCTTTTGGTTGCCAAAGCAGTTGAATGTTGCTAGAGAAAACACATAGCCAAGCACAAGGATATCATTAAAAGTTGTGACTAAACCAGATCTAGGCCTTGATTCCACTTTGCACCCCTACATTCTGCTCTCGAGTGTTTCATATATATGTGATCTATCCTGATTTCTAATTACCCTCATCCCCACTGCCTCCTTCTCGAGAGATATTCTTGCCTCATTCTTCATAGTAGAAATGGAAGCTACCAGAAGAAACTCCCTCAGATTCTGCTATCAAATATGATCTGTTAGATTATCAAATACCAGTTGGTCAAAATACATGCTGTGATCTCATTCTCTCATCATCATCACAGGACCATTACTTCATGGATTAGTCATCCTTTATCTTACACATTCTGCCTTTCCCTCTGAATTGGATTCTTCTCAACAGCATCAGGTTATATTTTAGCAGTGGTCCTTATTTTCTTCTATTGGTTCCACAGCTGCCTGTAGCTATTGATTTCTTTATAGCAAAAGTCTAAAAAATCAGTTATTAGAAATGCTGCCTCATTTTCTCATCTGGCATTCTGCCTTTCCTTTTGCCTGGCCCCTGTCTCTTCCACTCCTATATTGACCACATTGGCATCAGTGACTTCCATATTACAGGAACTATGGTTCTAGATCAGTGTTCATTCAATGTGATATCTCAGGGATGGTCATTGCATCCTTAAAAGCTTTCATCCCAACTTTCTTACCACCCCCAGACTCCTGATTTTATTTTTTATCTAATTTTCAGTTTCCTTTGCTATCTTGTTCTCTTTTCATGACCCCTAAAAGGTCCAGTTTTTCTGGGTTCCTTATAGATTCCTTCATTTTCTTTTTAGTCACTCTCATTTCCTCCCAACCTTTTTAAGTATACTGATATATCTCAAATAGGAACCTTGCTGTCATTGTTACTATTTTTTAGCCATTTTTGTAGGTATGTAGTGGTATCTCACCACAGTGTCAATTTGCATTTCCCTAATAGCTAATCATGCTAAACATCAGTGCTGGAGAGGAGTGGAGATACTGGCTCACTCATACTTTGCTGGAGGAATACAAAATAGTACAACCACTCTGGATAGGAATTTGGGAGTCTCCTTTACAGCTAAATCTACAAGTAGCATATAACTCACCAATCGTACTCCTAGGTTTTTATCCCAGAGAGATGGAGGCTTGTGTTCACTCATATATCTGTTCATAGTGGCTGTATTTATAATAGCCCCAACCTGGAAACAACTCAGATATCCTTCAGCAAGTGAATTATTAAACTGTGGTACATTCTTACCCTGGAATACTGTTCAGCAATAAAAAGGAGGGGTTATTGATATATGCAACAACTTCTCCAAAGAGTACTATAGTGAGGGGAAAGGTTACATACTATGTGACTCTCTATATATTGTTCTTGAAATGACATTATAGAAATGGTGAACAGATTAGTGATTGTCCAGAGATAGGGATGGGAAGCAGGTAACTCTGCTACAGGCATTAGGGGTAAGAAGTAGATGCAGTTACAAAAGGGAAATAGAAGAGATCATTGTGTGTTGCACCTGCTTTGTATCTTAGCTGTGGTAGCAGACACATCTGTCAATACAGGTGATAAAATTGCCATAAAATTAAATATACGCATGTACATGTGCATACACATAGACACATGGACTAATGAGTAGAAGTATAACTGAAATATCTGAGTAAGATTGTATCGATATAATATTCTTTGTCGTAGTTTCATACTATACATGTATAGTTTCATCCTTGGAGGAAAATGGATAAAAAGTTCGTGGAACTCTGTATGATTTCTTGCAACTTCAGGTGAATCTACAGTTATCAGAAAATTTAATGTTTAATCATTAAAGAATGACATTTGTGTATCTAAAATAAAAATGCTTGTTTTAGTTGCTAAAAGTCAAGTAATCATTAATATATAGAGAAATGAAAATGAAAAGCCCTTGCACAACTCCACAACTCTGTCTCTCCCCCTCTGTCACTTTTTCTCTCTCTCTCTCTCACACACACACACACGCACACGCACACACACACACATACACACACACACATACACACACACACACACGGAGCTTTGATCTCTCTGCCCTCTCACCTCCAACCCACAGTTCAGCTTCATGTGATCTGGTTTCTGTCCCATGGCTGCACTTACACGCTGCTCCTCATTTCCAGTGACCTCTTTGGGTTCTGAACACACTGAAGCCTTTTCAGTCCTTTCTATTCTTCATCCCTCTAAAGCCTTTAAAGATGTTGACACTATCTTGACACATTTTCTTCATTTGGCTTCTGTAATACCATATACTCTGGGTCTTCTTCCTACCACCACATTCACAACTTCCCACTCTTTTTAATAGATTTCCCTTCCTTTCTTCATTCCTTGAACTTGGTGTTTTACTGAGTTTTGCCCTAATCCCTCATCTGGTCTCATTCTACACTGCTGAGTGATTTCATCTGCTCCCAAGACTACAAATATCATCTGTGTGCTGAAAACTCTGTGGCCAAGATCTGCAGCCCAGATCTCTCTCTGGGCTCCAGACTATGAATATCAGTTTCCCAGACAGTCTTCCTAAATAAGCTTATAGGTTCATGGTGTGACGCTGCACTTGGAAGCCAGGATTTCCCCCTTTTAAACCTTTCCGCTCTGTGTTCCTGTTCGGTAAATGGCACTTCCTAGGTGCTCTAATTAGAGGCATGGGAGCTGTCCTGGACTCCTGCCCTTTTCCCATCTCTCCTCTCATCCACTCATTAATCAACTTCAGATGTTATACTTCTTCTTCCTTCATTTATGTGGCACATTCCTTCAGAGTTCTTTGATGACTTCATCACCTTGAAGAAAAATTTCATACTCCTCCAACTAGCATGTAAAAAGGCTGTAACCACACACACACACACACACACACACACACACACACACATGTGCACATGTGTGTACTCACACACTTCTGAAGTGGGGACACTGTCTCTTCCCTCTGGCACTGGGCAAGTAAATACATTCCCTTCATGGAATATGTAACTTCCTTACTTTCATCCCTATCACTAGCCAAGAATTATCCTCCTTCCAGCCTCAGATATCAGTTTTTCCTCAAGAATGAAAGTGATTCTTTACCATACCCAGCATTCTGTGATAGAATCTCCTGCTTGACCCCATCACAGCATTTAGAAGTTTGCATTTAAATTATCTATTTCTCCTGCAGCCCATTAAATACTGGTTCTCTCTAAGGTCAGGGATGGGATCTTGTTCCCCCTTGTGTTCTACATAGTAATCACTCAATACGTTTCTTGACAGAGGGGTTGAAGTGAACAAAGATGACATCATTGACTCTAAAGCCCTACACTTAAGCTAAAGGGGTGTCTGTGGGGTAAAGGGTCTTAAACTGGCTAAATGGTTCCAGTTTCTACAACCCTTATTTCTGCACAGCCCCTCACTTCTAAAACTTTTAGTCATTTCCTCTGGATCTTGCCAGCAATCTTCTATTTTCTTGTAGGTTCTCTCTGTCTCTCCTGTGTCATGTAGACTGGAATGAATCAGGGTCTGCTGACTTTTAAGTGTTGTGTCATCAGCCCTCTGAGCCCCTTCTCAGTTTCTGTGGCTGCTGTCCTCCTTGCTGTCTCCATCCCAGCAGACTTTGATGATCCTCCACATCCCTGGCAACTCTAACCCCAGTTGCTTTTTTTACCTAATATGTTACTTCATCCATAGTGAGTAGTGTTTTTTGTTTTGTAACAGTTACTATAACATATCTGATATGCTATGTATGAAAGTATCTCGCACTAGGAATCAGGAAAGCTGGGCCGACCTGGCTGAGCTGTTGCCTAGGAGACTGGCCTTAAGCAGGGGACCATACCTTCATAGCACCTGTCATTTTTAAGTGGATTCTGGTTTTGCTTGACTGCATCCCACTCCCTGAGTACAGGGGAAATTTATATCCTCCTTTAGTAATGAGAAGGCTACTAATCCCCTGCCATAATCTGACACCGAGATGCTTTTTAGTGTATACTGAATGGATCAGCTCTAGTGATGTTGGCACAAAGACAAGACAAACCCTATGGTCTTCTAAACCAATCAAGTACCCTAGTTTTGTTCCTATTCCAGGCTCTATTTCCACTGCCTTCTCCCCTACTCTGTTTCCTCACCTCAGTTCTATATGCAGCCTAATCATGTGTATCCTATTATCAAAGTTTTTGGACAGCATAAGGGATAAAAATCTTATGCCCTTCAGAAATAACAATCTTATGCCCTTTCCTTATTCAGGAAAAGGTAGAACACCTACAGTGATTCCCTCTTTGAGAATTGTTTTCCATCTTCCCTAGTTTCAGACAAAATCAGATGGATTCAGCATGAGCAGGCAGTGCTGTAATGTCTCCCTCTCCTCCCACCTGATGAAACTCACTTTCTTCACTTCACATTGCACTCAGCATTACGAATTTGGCTGCTGGTGAGAAGTGGGGACCTGAATCCTGCCTTTCTATCCAAGGTTCCCACGAACCACTTGTTAAAGTTTGGGGGCAAGAAGTCAAGCCTGCACTGACTGCATTTTAGAATCATTCCTTCCCTCTGCTTTCCAAGAGCTGCTGTTAGCTGGCAGAACTACCTTATCCATGTGATACATCTAAAAGCCCGGTGATTTCTTTGAGGAGTAAATAAATCTGGCTGACTGTGAGGCAAAGCAGAAACGGCAAAAAGCAAGGAAGAATAGCTGAGGTTAACTGGTTCCTTTTCGTCCACACTCTTAATACATATTGAACTCTGGAGGAAAGAAAGTAAAATTGAAGTGGGTTTCTGTGCTCAGCCACCCACCCTGATAATTAGACATTTGGGATTTCCTGAGGCACTGCATCCGAGTATCATCTGTATGGATAGTGTAGGGCAAAGATGATGCTAAGTGTAGTCTTAAACATCCTCTCCATTTGGTGTGATGGAAGATTCTTACAAAGAAAAACAGAAGTGGCAGAGTCTTGAAACTTCCACAGAGAAGTAGTCAGGACTGGGGACTGCAAGTGAGTGTGCCTCTAGTCCCTCTGGTGGGCACTGGTCCACATCACAGGAAGCCCAGCTGTGGTGTCTGTTAGCTTTAAGCAACTCTGAGCAGCTGGCAGACAGCTCTAGAGGCAGAGAGAAGTTTCTTTTGATAGAACAAAGAGATTTTAAAGATACCCAAGTTGAACCTTCCTTTCTCATTGTGCTAGTGGAGAAATTGCAGCTCAATCATGGATCTAACCAATCGTTTCACTAATGTTCTGAAGCAAGAGTAGCTGCCAGTCTACCCTTGATGTGAAGCCTACATGTATGGGGCATATGCACCTTATTAATTAAGCAAAGGGGTATTCAAGTCTTCTTGAGGGGCATCCCCTTCACATATAGGTATGTGAGCAGTTTTCCTAGCCTCTCATTTGGTTGTGTTTACTATCTCTTATAGTCAGCTGTTTCACTACTGTGATCAAAAGACCTGACAAGAGCAATTCTAGAGGAGGAAAAGTTTATTTTGGTTCTTATGGTTTCAGAGGTCTCATTCCATAGATGGTTAACTCCCTTGCTCTGGGTCAAAGGTGAGGCAGAACATCATGGCCCAAGAGTGTGGAGGAGGAAAGCAGCTCAGGACATGGCAATCAGGAAGCAGAGAGAGAGACACATTACAGACTAGGGACAAAATATATACTCCAAAGGCACACCCCTAATGACCCACCTTTTCCAGCCACACCCTACCTGCTTGCAGTTAACCACCCAGTTAATCCCTATCAAGGGATCAACACACCGATTAGGTTAAGGTACTCCTAACCCAATCATTTCACCTCCAAACTTTCTTGCATTGTCTCACACATGAGCTTTTGAGGGACACCTCATATCTAAACCATAACACTGTCAGTGAGAGGAGTTATAGCCTAAGGTCCTGGGGCCAGTATTGTCAGTGTTGGGCCAGAGCTGGAAATGGTATGGTCACCTCAGTTCTCATGCAACTCACATCTCTGTCCCTGAAAGGGGCTTGGGTCTTCTGTGTAATAAAGTGACTTGTTTATGTATGACCTCCAGCCAGCCCTTTCTCACTGAGACTCTTCATGAGCCTCCAACTTTATAGACTTGAACGGGCAGAAATCATGGCAAGAAAAGATAGTTTTCTTCAGGCAATGAATTCAGCTTGATTTTAGGAGCTATCTTCTTAAGCATATTACAGTTTATTCTCTGAGGTATATTATCTATACATGGACAATTTACATTGATATTGGTAGTTACATTGAGGTGTGTCTTGCTGTTTCTATTCTGACTGCATCTACACCCGATTTTTTTTTTTATGGGTTGGGATCTGATGGCCAGATCCCAACCCATAACAATAAAATCAGAATCTGTAAAAGTGAGACACAGACATTGACATTTATTATTACTTCAAATAATTTAGTAATCAAATATGACATAAAAGGCTAACTTTCAATGGCTCATTTAGGAAGAAAATAACTCCCCAGTCCCCAATTACCACTAGCATAAAAGGTGAATTCTCTCAAATTTTCTGGCATTTTCCACAACTGCAGATTAAGTAACTTTGTCATCATGTCCTACCACTCTCTTGCTCCCAATTTATTTTTAGCTGAACTCATATTAGAGGACAAGGAGGGGCAATAAAAGAGAGTGACCTTTTTCAAAACAACTTTTTTGTGTTAGAAAAAATGATTCATTGAAAAAGCCATGGCTTTGGGATTCTTCTCAAGAAAGCGCTTGATAACAGTTAATATATGCTCAGAAGCATACCTAAAGGGATCCTCCTTTATTTTCATTAAAGAAGGTCTTAGGTCAAGGCTGTTGACAACCTGGCCATGACAAGAATTGCCTTCCACATTGGAAAAGAGCTAGACAAAGCAGAAATGAGATCCAGTCCCAACCTGTAGTTCTAAGACCACAGCAGCAATGGAGTAGCAGAACTGGGTGAACAGCTGTGCTGGAAGTAGATTTAATTCATCAGACCTACCCTTATACTTACATATCCTTTTGCTTACTGAAAGTGTTAAGAGGAAAGGTAGCTCAATTATGAATCTACATAAGTATGCGTGCCTCTGTGTGTGTGTGTGTGTGTGTGTGTGTGTGTGATTTCCTTAATATCTTACATATTATTTGGGCAAATAATGTTAATTGCTATAGCAAACAAACCTCCAAAGCTCAGTGCTTTAACACAATAGAAGTTGATTCATTCTGATAATATGCCATTGAGCGAGTGTCGAGCAGCTGCTTCCTACTTGGGAATGCAGGGACATGGGCTTGCTTCACCACTGACTCCACCATTCTGCAGAGCCCAGGTGTCCTGGGCTACATTCTCTGCATCTGGCAGATGAGGGAAGAGAGAGCATCCAAGAGCTAGTGAGGTGGTGGTGGTGGTAATGACTGCTGGCCAGACTTGGAAGCGTAACACACTGTTCCTTTAGTGATACTTCATTGGCTGGGACTACTCACTTGGCTGTAGTTCCAAGGAAGACTTGGAAATATGTCCACACTATGTGCCCAAAAAGAAGAGGAAGTGGTTAGATGCACATGTAGCTGATGTTCCCCTTCCTCCTCCTCTTCCTCCTCCTCTTCTCCTTTTCTTCTTCCTCTCCCTCTCTCCTTCTCCTTCTCCTTCACCACCACCATCATCAGAGCTCAATTTGAATGGGTATACCTTCCTGGAATTTTCCAAATCAGATTTCATGACTTATTTATCTTTCTCCATATAATTCTTTTTGTCTCTTTTTATATATTTTCTATAATAATCTGATTTGAATTCATGACCAATGAATAGATCTAGTTTTCCCCAGCTGGATAATTTAACATCTAATTCTTCCACATTGACTATTGGGTATTACCTTTTATTATAGAGGGAGAAAAAAATATAATTTTTTGTTCAGTTATTCAACAAAGCTCAGATGAAAGTTGGGAGTTCAGTGGTCAGCAAAAGCAGACTAGTGCCTGATCCCTGGAAGTTTCTCTTCTAATAAAGAAATGGACAGAATCTTTTAAAAGAAAGGGGCATTGTCCCAGGAGAAGTAGAACAAAGGAACTTGACCTAGACTGGAGGGGTCAGGGCAGACTCTGCTGAGGAAGTGGGACTCAACTGAGCTGTGGGGAGCGTGTAGGAGTTTAGACATCTCAGACAGGGTGGCCTGCTGACCTAGGAACTGAAAGAAGGCTCATGCGGTTAGAGCTGAGATTGAGGGAGAAGTGTGATGCCAGATGTGTGTGAGAGGTGGGCCATGAAGAACGCCAGCCTTGCTGAGCTTGTTGGCCTTTCTCCCAAAAGTAAAAGAAAGTTCAGCCATTTTATTACTCCTTACACCACTCATCCATCACAGGCTTTTCCTGAAAGATCTTTGGCAGTAGGGGGGATAGGGAAGCAGCTTCATGAGTAAGTGGATGGCAGACCTTTTCCCTAAGCGTTGTGGTTTTTAGCCACACACCATGTGTTCCACATCTCTCCAGCTCTCCTCATTGTTTCCTAGAGCTAAATTGTAAGATGAGCCTGAGCTAAACACAGCTGAGCTAAAAACACAACCTGAGAAGGGAAAGGTTTTTCCTGTCCCAGATGTGAGCCCAGCTGTGTATGTCCCCCCACACGACTTAGTGAAAGACACTTTGGATTTGGAGCTCCATTTCCAGTCCTTTCTTCTACTAACTGATTCCATCTTAACAGATTTCTGACAAAATTTTCAAAAAAACTTTAGGTTAGATCCTTCATGTTCCCAGGTCAGAGTACCTTCCACTTTTCTAAACGGATCTCATTATAGTTCTCCCTTCTTTATAATGTTGAAAATATCCCTTCCGATTGAACCAGATCTCTTAGACTTCCCCTTCTTTTCTCCTCACTGAAATGGCCTTTTTCATCTTCTAAAATGAACTAATTTTAAAATTGGAGCTCAAAACTCCCACCTCTAACAATGAATTGGGTAATTTATTTTTCCCCAAGGAACAGAATAACTGTTGGATGGATTGCCTTTAACTAGTTGTCATGGCAACACAAACAAGCCCGAACTCCAGACAAGTGACTGAGAGCTTTGGTGACTTGACAAGGCAGGGGGTGCAAAACCCACAGGATATGAAGTCTGTCTTAGGTCTGGGTTTGCCAGAAAGCCAAGGTCGAGCCGACAGAATGTTCTTCCTCAGTGTAATTTACAGGTCAAGGATAACGGTGCATCCTGTAGAAAAGAGTATAATTGATAATTGAAGGTGGTGGTAAAGCATTTTGAAGTTATTCCAGTCCAGTCTGTCTCTGAGGCTTAAACAGTGAGTGTTCCTATAGATTAACTGTTGCCCACAGATTAGCATTATGAAATCATCTAGATATAGACATATTGGAGAGATCAAAGCCTTGCCTCTGACCCAAATCATTCAGTCTCACCTCATTTCACACATCCTATACTTCAACCATCCTGACCTTCTTTGTGTTCCCTGAGAAGTCCCATCTCTTCCTGACCTCTGCTTTTCCTTATTCTGTGCCAGGCATTAAAATGCCCATCCACATCTTTTTGTCTGAATTTTATACAACCAGTTCCATTGCCATCTTATCCCTGAAGTTCCCCTTTATCTCCTAAGTTGGAAGTCATCTCTCTCTTCTTATTTTATGACATAGGTTATCTTAATTTATATGCTTATGCATTTATGTGTGTATATCTTATATTCTCTATAAGAGCAGCTTTTGAGAGAAAGACCTATAACATATCTTGATTTCTATTTCCTAGAGCTCCTTCTAGTGGGAAAAAATGCTTTGAGGTCAAGAAGCATTAAGCTTAAGCTGAACTCTATGGTAAAAACATCTGTGAACTTGGACAAGTTTATTAACTTCCTCAAACCATCTACCTTCTTCATGAGGAGAATGAGAATATCTCATTCTTGAGGAATAAACTTTCAAGAGAACTCCAGGGTAGGGCCTGACACAGGTACTCAGAAAGAGCATTTTATATCGTTCTTACGTTGTGTTTCTGTGGTTAGCATTTAATGTTTGCATTACACATAAACTACAAGTAACAGTGATCATTTTAAGTAGTCACTGAATACTTATGAGGTACATTTCATCCCTTGGGATAGGTACTCTGATGCATCCTATTCAGTAAAGGGGAAAACGGACCTAGAGAGCTTGGGCAGCCTGTCCATAGATATTAGAGAGAACTCCAACTTGAGTTTAATCAGTCTCTAGGACCAGCTCTCTTGATGCTGCATAACATGCTTTCTCATACAGTAGCCAGTGGAACTCATAAATCTTGCTCCCTCCAGGAACAAAATAATGTCTGCTCTCTGTCCTGGATATTTGAAGATAAATCTCAGTTCTCCCATCAACAGCTTTCTCTCCAGGCTAAACATCCAAGTTCATTTTCTCTTCCCTCACAGGTCAGCTTTGCAGCTCTCTCCCTGTATTCATCTTCATTGCTTTGCCCTGGACAGGATCCAGTTCTTTTATGTACATCTAAAGTGTACATAAAACACTTGGCTGTTTGGTTGCTTTGAGAGACTACTCAAAATGTGGTTGCTTTGCAATACTACTCAGGGAGGTGGGAGAAATCGATGATATGTAATACCTCGTATCAGGCAACACTTTAGTGAGACCTTAATATGACCACATGTTGACATGGTCAGGCACTCATGACAAATTGGGGAGCCTGAGCTGCGAAGATGAAGATGTTGACTAGAATTAAGGGAATGAATGTCTAAGAGAAAGGAGGTTTTGAATTCTATGAAGCTTCTGTCTAGATTTTATGTTTAGATTTTATGAAATCTGTCACTTGCGAGTGAATTTTCATGCTCAGTATCTTAAAATACAGCTGCAGTTTGGGTTCCACCCTCTTCACTTAACAGGGTGATTAACTATTTGTGATGAATAATTATTTAATTGCCAGTTCAGCTACATGTGTGTGGGGTTGTTTTGCTTCTTTCCTCTTCAGTGTAAGCCAAGTCTTTGCAATAATAAAAATAATCCAGAATTAGTCAACTGCCTTTTAACAGGTTTTCACTCACTCTGCCTCAGCAATAAGGTTCCAATTTTACAACATCACCTTTTGCTTTAAAAAAATAAATAAATAAAAGCCCCTGCTCAGTCAGTTCGATTTTTAACTCTCACAGCATCTCCAGTAACTGTTGACAGAGTCTGTACTTCCCTTTGAACATTTTACTCCATCTTTGGATAAAAATTTAATCAGAAAGAATTATTGCTCTTATAATACCCATTTAACCTTTATATTCACAGTAGATACAAAACCACTTAAAATTTAAAGCTCTCTTTTTATGGACTTGTATGCTGATCCACTTTTTCACAGAGATAATTTTTGCATGAGTCGTTGAGGCAAGACATGCCGGCCACTGCAAACCTCCAGGCTTCTCCATTGACTGATTTCCCTTTCCATGTACTCTTTGCTAAATTAATTATTTTAACAGTGACTTGCTGTTTTAAGGGAAGTTCTTTATTAATGCCACTAAATCCTTTTTTATAGTTGTAATCCTTCTGTCCATTATTAGAACTATTTCATGTTTTCTGTCTTCAGAATGTATAAGTGCTTAACTTCCGATAAAGTGTGCCTGGCTATCTTAATTTTATAGGCTTTACTAACAAAGAGGTGTATACGTATCAGTAGGGAACAGACCCAGGGTCTTGAGCTTAATATGTAACAGACTTAAGATTCCTTATTTGAACAACTTATATGTCTAAAGACAGATGATACACTACAGTGTTCTTCTCTTTTAATTTTCTTATCACAAAAGTAATTCATCTTCCAACTCAAACCAAATTTTATAGAAATTTCTAAAATAAAGAGTGAAATTCTTCTCAAGACCTCTTCCTAGACGAAGGCACTGTTAAAGGTCTGTGTGTCTACTTCTGAAATTTTTTATACACCATGAAAATAAATATATGCAGATTATGTGCACACAGTGAGACACATATTATTCTGCATCTTCTTTTTACATTTTCCCCCAACAATGTATAGGTCTGGTATCTTTCTCAGAATGATAGTGCATATGGGTCTTAGTCTTAAATTTTAATGGTGTCACAGAATTCTGTAGAATGTACAATCCATAACTCCCTCAGTCATTTCCCTATTGATAATAATTTATATGTGTTCATTTTTTTCTGTTTTTTTTTGCCATTAAAGGCAAATATCTTTGTGCAATTATCTTCATGAAGTTTTGACACTTTCTACAAGATAGATATCTGGGATAGACTTGCAGAATCAAAAATACATGCACATTTCCATTTGATACCTACCAAAACAGCCCTCTCAAAAGAGGGCCTTGATTCATTCTTGTATAAGATCATCTGAGTCCCCATACTTTCACTAACCTTGAGCATGTTCCGTCTTTTAAATGTTTGCCAAAAAGGTTGTCTAAAAACAGGATTTCATGTTTTAATTTGCATTTTAAAGGATTTTTTAGTGAGTTTAACATCATTTCCTATGTTAAGTAACCACCTTACTTATTCCCATTATTTGTCCATTTGGGGGGATTGGGTTATTCATGTTTTTCTAATCAGTGAATTGGAAGTTATATGAGTTTTAACCCATTTTGAAACTGTTCCACAGTGACCTATGAGTTCCTTGGAGAATAGCGTGGGTGGGGAGAAGCAGCCTGGCGGGCAGGGCTCCCTGGTATTCTAAGTCTCCTTCCTCTGTGCCAATCACAAATGTTGATCAGGCAGAGTAGCTCAGTTTTTACCTGCATTTCATCTTAGGCTTTGAGCTTGAGATGAAGCAGTGGCTCCTGAGGCTAAAAAGACGTATTCAAAAACTCCTAGGGGAGACAGAACTCAGATTTGTCATAAAGAGATCTGTCCCAGGCTCTGCAGCTTAGACTTTTCAAATTGGAAGAGCCTTTAGAGTAAGTAAGTTCTTATTTTATTGCAAACACCCATGTAATACAAACTATATGGTTCATATCCGTTGATATGCATAAGATACTAACAGTATTGTCATGAATTCCATCATATATTCTTAGTAATATGAATTGTATTCCTGATAATAACTTCAACATATATTTGGAAACTTGTGGTACTCATCTGTAAGCAATGCTCAGAGCTTGTTTGTTTATTATTATGGTGCAGAATTACTTATTTATTATCTGCTAATTTATTGAATACATAGATGATGTGTTCATATGAAGACTTTGCTAACTCAAGGGCCCACAAGAATATGCTGTCCACAGTCGTGAGGAGCTGATTTGATACAAACTTTCAATTCTGTTAGTGGAGAGAGCATCTATGTAGACATTCAACCAGCTAATACCGGATCCTTAGTGTCTTGACGCCTACTGTGAATACTTTTCCCCACTTTGCCATTCCCTTCTGGGCAACCTTGGTTGGCTCCTTTTAACTTCTAACCTTCAGTTCTTTCTTGTCTTTTTCAATGAGAGTAATAATGCACACATTGACATCCTGACTAGGATGGAAATGGATGGAAAATGACTGTTTTTACCTTTTGAGAATAGAATCATGTTGTACAAAAATGTAAAGAATTATCTGAGTATCTATTGCCCTTCCTTATAATGTTAAAAGATTGCTAGTTTCAGCAGTAGCTGCAGTAATTAAATATGTTTTTTAGCATATTACTTTATCATGTAGGAGAGTATTGATATTTTATTTCCAGGCTCTTCTGAAATGAGCTTGCTTTTTCCCAATTTCATATTTTGGATCTGAAAAGGGAAAAAGAAAAGATATAGCTGTGGCACTCATTCTTTCATTCTCTCTGAAATAAAAGCAAAATAATGACTCTTAAATGGTCAAAGTAATAGCCTGAGGGCTTTCTTTTCAATGTTTCTTTATGTGTACCTTTTAAGAAGGACCTAGTCTCTGCACTTATCTACAGAATTCTGTTATACCAGTTTAATCATTAAATAAGACTTAATATAATAGATTTTTCAAAGACTTATTCAAAACAGATTTTTTTTTAAAATGGGAAAGCAGTGGATATTTATATGATAAGATAATATATGACCTTCCTTTTTATACTCAGAAATCTTTATTTTCTTTAAAATTTTTATTTTTATTATTTATAATAAAATGTCATGTCACAATTATTCAGTTCAATCAGCAGCTACTCTAGAGTCTTTGGATGCAACAGAGAACAATACAAGCAGAAACCCCTGCCTTTAAGATCCTCTCATTTCTAGGGGGGAGAAGACATAAAATAATAACAAAAATCAACATAATACAAAAGCA